ATTTAATTATAAATGTTTTAGTTCCTCAAAGCTAAAAATGAATCTAGCTGTAAGCAGGTTGCCTCACCTACTCAAGTCTGCAGGCAGGTTTTACTCCCTGAGGTGCTCCTAGCCAGTTCTCCCAAATAAAACACAGACTTTATTCAATAAGCAAACAAAATTAACCCCTGTCCCAGGCACTAAAAGAGGAGCCTTTTGGCTCTAGCCCCAGCACAGCAGGTTGACCCTTTCTTGCAGCAAGCTGGTCTACTCAAAGCTTGCTTCCTCCTCTCTTGCTTACTCTTCTGGGAGCTTTTAAAGCTCCTATCAGGATGCTCCCCCCCCCAACTCCTTCTGCAGATTCTAATAGCCCTACTGAGGTCTCCAGTGTCTCACCTGGAGGTTCATAAATAGCAGCATGTCCCTGTATCTATCCGGGATGAAACACCATTATAAGCAGGAAAGTGACAGAGATGGTAAATAATGGAGGACAGCTTTGTTATATTACAATGTCATACCAAACTGCAGGTGGAAGCACAGCTTGAAGTTTTGTTACTCCTCCATCTATGGGAACAAGGAACTGGACATTGTTCAGAGCTACTGGTGTAGTCATTGCTTCTGTATTATATTTGTAGTCGATGCGAAGGTCAGTGCTTGTAGATTCACACCGCCAGTTCACTGCAAGGTTTAATGGAGTAGACTGAATACCCTGGGCAGATACCTTACAAAATGACAGAAAAGGCATTAGTTCTCATGGGGGTGGAGGGAGAAATTTGCTTTTACACATATGATAATCTTTATTGGTGTTAGAGCTGGTAATTTCTTGCATGTTCAGAGTAAGTTTGTACGGCCAGTCTAGTGACACAGAAGGTAACACCAGTGTAAAACTCCCTGTAATTCCTCTAAGCAGCAGTCCATTTCAGGTTATTTACTCTTCTGTGCCAGAGAAACTTGTTATATTAACTCTTGATGTACTAAAAACCATTCTGACAGAGCTTTATTTTGCAAAAAGCAAAATACCTGATATTTGAGCATGTCCACATTGTAATATGTAGCTTGTGGTTTCTGCTCAGACACTTTCTTTAGATGAGTCATCAGATTTGGCATGTTTACCCAGAATTCCTTTGTATTGGCATCAGTCTGTGTACTGTCACTACAGAAAAGGGTGACAATTAGCTCTTTTCATAAATAGAAGCATAAACTGATGTGATCAAAGAAAGTAAGATTTAGTATATACAGTAATATAACAAGGTTTAGTTCTCCATTTACAAAAAAATAATCCAAATCACTTTTACTAGTTCACTTCAAATGCTATTATCTCCATGGATGTACAAAGCACTGGCCAGTGAGGCACAGTGTGAACAACTTCTGTTAAGAACTTACTATGCACTTCCCCTAGAAACCTTTAGTGCCAGCCAACATTGCTGCATTGGCAGCTGTGGGCCTGAAGGTAACACTTTCAAAAGTGTCTAAGAGACATGGGCTCCAAAGTCTTATTTTCAAAAATAACCCAAGCAGTTAGGAACTCATCTTAGTGTAAATCTGCAAGGCATTTGGTCATCTAAAGATGCAGATAGGCACTTTTGAATACCCCACAAAATGCCCAGACACCCAAGCACTTAACTACTGTAGAATCTAGGTTGAACTCTTTCCTCCAAGTCTTCTTTACAGAAGCATTTCTAAGTCTCTAAAAAGTGTATTTAAAATTATATTTACCAGCAGAGAAGTTGAGGATTTGGCAGGACATGTTCTAACCTGTTGTAATTTATCACACGAAAAGTTAGAACAGATGGAGCTGGATTATTGGCAAAATGTCTGGTAATTCCTGCAGGAAATGACAGCACCATTTCTCCAGTTATCTTCACTATGCATCTTCAAAATAAAAGGAGATAAGGGGGGCAAAGAAAGAAAGCAGTTCAAAATATAGCTCAGGAGATTCATCTGAATCAAGTCAGGCATGATGGAGATGTGACATTTCATTTCTTGCCTATTATAATGGAAAGCAAATCTACTTGTTTCTAAAACAGAATTAGCCCAAATGTAGAAAACTGCTGGTATTTGGGCAACAAATACAAAATATGATCTTTGTATGAATGCCTCCGGATTTACTTTTGGGAAGCAGTTGTCGTTTCAACAGTAGTATTGACAAACCTAACTGTCCAGTTGCTACAGTTCAATACAATTCTGGCCAGGGCAGTCCCAACTGCCCTGCATCCAAGATAATTAGAAATTATTTGCGTTTTTCCTGCAGTTTCTCACTCTGGTGATAGCTGCTACTATCTTGTGGATGCAGAAGCAGGTTTTCTTCCAGCTTCTTCCTGATCCCCTTGCACTGCCTCCACTTGTTGAAAAAGTAAGGGAGAGTAGAAGCAAGGGCAGTCGCTAACACCCTTCCTATCAGCAGCTTCAGCTCAGCTTCTTCTAATGGATCATGGAGTAAAAGGAAAGAGCCTAGGGCAAAAAGTTCTCCACCCCACTGACACGTGAACAGGCAAGGGAAAGTGTAGCTAGGACCCCAAAATCAGTTCTGGACCAGAAGAGAGGGGAGAAGGAGAGACAAAAGAATGGCTTCCCTGGAAAAAAGGGAAAAGAAAAAAAGGGAAGAAAAACATAAAAAGGAGGTTGAAAGAAGGACCAATCTCATCCCTCTCCCCAGCAGACACCAGGAGGATTAGGCCTGCTGGTCAATTCCCCTCAGAGGGATTGGTTAGGATTTCCTACTTAAAAGGACCAGGCTTCTTCCACAACTATGACATATGGGGAGCCGACAGCCGTCTGAGGAGAGGCCACAACATCCACCATAAATTCAAGCTGACATCTCAGTTGCAAGATGCCTGGTCCCCAAAGGGACCTTTGGGGTCCCTTTCATCGATGATTTTTTGTTCTTTTGAAATGTTACATTTGTTGTGGCAATACTTCACCACAAACTGAATGTCAAGGCAAGTTCCTAATACATTACAGCAGAGAAAAAATATTTGTCTGTGGCTTTGTATTTGGGCAACTGGCTGTAAGGGGCCCTAACTCTCAACGGAGCTGAAGAAACAGCCCTGAAAAACTACATTGGTCTCAATAATAATGCAATCCAAATGTAGTGAATGTCCAAAATGCAGGAATAGTCACTCTGAGAAATACTGTCAATATAAGGAAGCATGTTTACTGGCAGCCAGAGTGTTAGGGGGTGGGGGAAGTCACAGAAAAACTTGCCAAAGAAAAATATCCAATTGTCGCACCATGTCTGAGCTTTATGCTTTCCAGTCAGTGCTTTCTGGTGCCACATTTGTACATTCACATATATAATTAGATTATACAATGTGCTCCTGCTTCCCCTAGGGTTGATGCCCATGCTGACAAAGTTTATGCCAGTATCAACATACTGAATAATAAAGCTGTAGGTTGTAGTATTTCAGTACTGCTAGAAGAGCCCAGTTCCATCAAACAGGGAGCCATGGGTGGAGTATACTCTGGACACAACCTGTAGACTAGTTGGAAACCCCAGGACTGATTTTTGCCACTTGTATTTCCTTTTTCTAGTAGTTACTACATTTCACACTAATGTTGTCAGTGATCACATTCTTTTTTGCTCAAGGCTGACCCATGAACAGTAACACAGAAGGAGAACACACAGCCTAGTATGAAAGCAGTGGTAACAACTTATTTTCAAGACCAGAAGTGTCACTTCAGACTACAAAATCTCCAAACTACAATCCTATATCATTTTAAGGTCTCCAGCCTTTCTATATTAATAACATGCAGTAAAACGATTAGTATCAACAAACTGGAATATAGCTCAGCTCACAGACTATTTCTGAGTAACGTATCAAAGTTACGCTGTGAATATAACTGGAAGAGATTCACAGCAGAGAAAAGCTACAGTGGAACATTAATGCAATGTTTTGGGCTGCAGATTTTAATATCATCACACTGAAACATTCAGGTATGTAATCTTACCAGTAGAAAGCAGCCATAAAGCTGCCTTACAGGGGACAGCCAGGAATGCATTGTGCTTTGTTTGTTCCAGGCCATCCATTGGTTCCATAGTGTGCTTAAGCTGCACTAATCTTACACCATAGGTGGTTTCAGCCCCTAGCCAGGCCAGAATAGCCTCACATCAGTCTCAGCTGCACTGGTGCCTGACTTAGAGGTAAAAATATAGCTCACTTCAGATACACAGGTGAATCTAGGGCTTAAAATATAGAAGGACATGAGCAATGAGAATGGTGTTACAAGGGAGGCTGCAGGCAGAGTGCACTGTGGTAGCAGCTACCAGAGACTGAGTCCCTAAAGCAGGTACATCTCTCCCACCCCTCACCTCGCCATTCTCCTCGGAGCACTCCACCATTCAGCAGCACCTCACCTTCCCTTCCATCCTCCTGCCCCATCCAGAGGGGTTGCTCTGGGCATAAGGAGGGGGTACTGTCCCCAGTTGACCTGGGGGAGGAGGAAAACTTAGACCCACTCCTCCTAGAGTCTGCCAGATGTGACTGTGCAGGGTGCTGGGCTCAGCAGGGGACAGTGGCACTGGCAGGTGAGTCCCTGTTCCCCCTGCCTTTCTCATTTACTTGGTCACTCCAGGAATCCCCTCACCAGCCTGGGGCTCCAGCTATGTCTTGGACTCTGCAGGGGACCTATAGGTGCCTGTGGCTGCAGGATACTGGAGCCAGCTGGTGAACTACACTGTTGAAGGGGGGTGTGACCATACCCAGCACAGCCCGTGGATCTACCCCTGCATGTGTATGATGCAGAGAAATTGTTTTGGGTACTGCACAAGATCACTGAATGCATAGACCTTTTCCCTCCAATCGGTGACAAAGGGCTGTCAGGATACTCTGGCAAGGAGATGGCCCCAGATATACCAACATGACTCATGTTTACGTGCAGTCTTGATGTGTAAACTGATATTTAGTGCCATAAACTTCTGACTATTAGCTCCAGGCTGAGAGATGCTGAGCAGTGTCCAGTGGATAAGGCACTGGACTGGAATTCAGGAAACTGGGCTACTGAGCTACTTTCCCTCTCTATGCCTTGGCTTTGACATTTGTAAAATGAGAACGATGAGACTTAACATCTTTTACAAAGGAAGACAAGTTCCAGGGATGAAGGTTTCTATACAGGAGCTAAGCATTCTCATTCAAACACAGAAGAGCTTCTCTAAGGACTCTAAAGGGTTTTTAGGAATATGAGGGCTGAGTTGAAACACAAAAATCAGTAACTACTGAGTAAAGCTTACAGTATATCCCTTTTTCCCTTTCTCACACAGACCTATAATACAATAACATTTTCTCTGCATATCTGTACAAATCAGTCATAGGCACCAAAGGCAGTCCTCATATTTGCAACCATTTATTTCCCTGTAGTTGTCTATGATGCAGGAAATAGAGGCAAGGTCAGTTCTGGTATGTGCATAGCCCTGAAAAACACTCGTGCAAATCCAGCCTAAACTGGAACAGAATTTAGCCCCAGGTACTGCCAGATGAAAAATACACCTGTGTTAGAAGCTAGTAGAGCTACCCTAGTTAGCATCAAGTCAGACTTTCAAAAAGGATTATCCAGAAAGCAGGGAAGGTGAGAAATATACATGCAATCTGCAGTCTATAATATATACACACATACAGGTATATATTACATATATATACACACAATATGCATATATATGCAATATATACCCATGTATATTATATTCCTCCCCTTCTAAAACTTAAAGACCTTTTTTTTGGTTTCTCTATGTCACTATGCTTAAATTCCTTGATTACCAGATGCAGCTCTCAAATAAAAATAATTTTCAGAAGGTAACAGGTAGACCCTGCCATATTGGAGGAACAGAGGTTCATATTAGTGTAGGTATGGAAAAAACAGACATTTTTTCTAGTATTTGCAAATCAAAGTTCTTACAAGAGGATTGTGCATCTCTGTGCATTTTAGCTGTGCATCTCTAACTTATGAATATCCCTTAATGGGATATTAATAGGAAACGTTATTTCCTATTTATAGGAGACATTTTTTATAATTAGGATTGCAAATTAATGGAGATGAACACATATGAATAGATTAAAACTCATCCATATAATTTATACTATTAAGAGAACTTAAATAAGCTTCCCATTTATCTCTCTTGCATTAAACTCTTTCTAAGCAAAATCCTGAAAATGCTTTATGTGGATTAAAGAGGTCACCAATAAACATGCTATTTAGAAGCTGCCTTAAACTGTTACAGAACAGTTAGATACATTACATAAACTGTATTTGTTAAACAATTTAAGGATTAGGACTTTTCAACAGTTCCAGTGAAGCTACAATACTGTCAGAACAACAGAAAGGACTTTCTTAAAATGAAAAGCAGCAGCCAGACATGGACCAGCAGAAAGCTGCTGCATTACCTCTGGCTATTATGTTTTGTGGAGTATTTGTTTACCCATACAAGTGATCAAAGCAGCAAGCTCAGACTGCCACTACCAGTACTATTCACCAGCTTTCCATCCTGGCAACCACCACATAGTGAGATCCAGGAGTCTGCAATCGCTGATAATTTCCTTGATCTTCAAAGATGTTTTTATGGTACCAGATGAAATGAGAGAACACCATGACATCACTGACTCCATGGCCAGGGCAACTGCCGAGAAATTCTTGAGATGCGAATCCAGTGTTCCCATCATCTCCCACCACCAGCATGTAGCTTACATCTTTTCCAATTTCATTCCCCACCTCTCTTTTCTTTTGCTGTCTAACACTCTAGTTTCTTGCTAGGACAAGAGAGGCTAATTATAAAAATTCCTTAGCAGTCTGATTGTAACATATGGCTGCCCGGACATAGTGGTTAACGAGGTTGTGTGCCATGTGTTTTGCTTGTAGTTTTCCAGAAACTAAACTGCAAGCGTTGGAGAGAGAAGTTACAATTTACTAACTTTTTCTATTCTTTCTTTTCTTCTTCTCAGTTTGCATTTGATTTGCATTTGCAGAAACAAACAGAACCAGACTAACTTCAGGACATGTGAGCTCCCAGCTGGACTGACTCTTTAGCCTGTTAAGGAATGGCAATTGATGCTACACAAAAGCTTTTTGCTTTGAAAAAGCATCCGCCAAAACATTCCCAAACTTCTTTCTAGTGCGCCGCTGCTCAAGTGCTTGGCAGAGACAGAAATGGACACAAGGCTGAATGAGAAGCCGAAGAGGGACAACAGTCAATGCTGTGACAATGGAAAAAATCGAAACGAATTTTCTGCTCCACCGTTCTAAATTCCAAATAGCCTTTTATTGGGACTAGGAATGATCTCCCAAACTTAAGAAAAATTGTGCACTACATTTGAGGAAATTAAAGCAACAGAAGTAATATCTCATGATATGGACAATAACAAGAATCACAGAAAAGTAGGACTTAAAGGGACCTCTGGAGGTCATCTTTTCCAACCCCCTGCTCAAGGCAGGAATATGCTTGACTAAACCATCTTAGTCAAGTATCTAACTTGCCATTAAAAATTTCTAAGGGTGGAGAGTCCAGAACCTCTCTGGGTAGCCTGTTCCAATGTGTCACTACCCTCAAAGTCAGAAAGTTGCTTCTAATACCAAACCTAAATTTCTATTGTCTCAATTGACACATGATGCTGGATGTTCATGTAGGTCACTAAGTCCTTAAGGAGCCCTAGAAGCAGTGGGTTAATAAAATACTCAATTTGAACTTGAAGATGGATTGTTCCACTATGTTCCGCTACCTACTTGTTAGGGTCTGCTCCTTTGAAGTATGCATTAACCGTTTCTGTGAATGCTGCTGCTACAGGGAGAGTGTCCTGTGCCCCCATCGTTAAAGGACTGGGTCCCCTAGAAGAGCCTGCAACAGAGGAAAAAAACTTCCACTCATTACATACACACAGGAACATTGTAGCTGCTCAAAACAACACCACCATGGGTGGAGGAATAAATAGTCATTTACTGATAATTACAGGTGAAATCTGGTGTTTTCCTTTTATTTATGAGCACTAACTCCCCCACCACCCTTGGACTTCAGAATAGCATTTAATGCATCTACTCTCTAAACAACTGAACTAGCTTAATATTCTTCTACTCTAAACATCATATTAAACATACAGGAAGATACCAGAAGTTGCACATATCTGTAGGAACTTTGATGCATTTTGAATAAGGCAGTCTTTGCATGACAGTTTGTGCAGTACACTTCTGGGTCCCCAAAAGGAAGGCTGGGTAGTTTCCTCTGTTCTTCTTTTGCCAGTCTATCCACATACACAGTAAAACATTTGCCATCAGTTTGCATTGATGATCCCTTTTGTTTCATGTCTGCTGGGAAACACAAACTTATGCATCCATTCCCAAGACGAGACTGGTTCTGCAGCTCTTGCCTCTTCCCCCCCAACACCTGACAGTAGCCCTCTCTGTGGGTGTTTTGCACACTGCAGTCTGCCATTCTTCCCTTCCTAGATAGCAGATATTTGTGACTTAGTTAATTGTTGCTCCAGACCTAATGCTGCATCCCTGTCTGAAGTGGGGATTTGTACAGAGAGCAATTGCTTGCCCAGCTGCAGCAGGTTCTCATGGCCAACACAGAGAAGGGGCAGTACAGAGGGACACACGTCAGAAAATCTGGCACCTCTCTTCCTTTTGGATCTTGAAATACCTGAAGTGAGCGGTGCTTGGGACTATATGAAAGAAACTTTGAAAAAGCGAACTTTAAGCACGTGCAAGCCCTGAAAAGGGACACATTTAGCCACCTACTTTAGTTCTTTGCAGAATTAGGACCACTGAGGATCACTTCTGGGAGTATCAAGACCTCTCCTTTCTCCCTATACAGGCAATGCCATGGAAGGATACAGTTTTCCCCTAAGTGATTTGTGAACCCTTCAGCATGACTAGCCTGGTTACAAGCAAGCCTAGGATATTTTATGGTTTCAGGTGAAAACAATGACAGGCTATGAATTTTAAGTGACACTCAGGGACACTAATCCACAGCAACTAATTTAGGGGTTAGACATGAGATTAAGTAGAGAGGATCAGCAATTGAAGAGCATGGCATTTGCTCTAGTAGTGCTTTGCAAGTCCTGAAACGATGTTTTATGCAATAGTCACAGTGCACATCTACGCCAGCACTGAAATAAATTAACTTCATATTTGCAACCATTATTTTTTTTCTTTCCTAGCAACAAACGTGTTTCTCTGAAAGGAATCCCATCTCAGCATGAAAGAAATAAGACTAAAAGTGCAACAAAGACATGTTGGAAGAATAGACAACTGCTGGATTTGCATGGAAATCAAATATGGGCATGTGGGAGATTTATATACTATATTTCAAATGCAGACAACTAATGAGGTGCCCTCTTAAAGAAAACACGAACAGAAAGAATCTCTCCAGCACATGTGCTTTGTGCATCAAGTATTGTTTTGGCAAAGACCTAGCTTCTCCCTTAAGAGAAGTTTGAACAGATTAGAATGACATTAATTAGTAGGCATTTACCACTACATGATGTGATTTGATACAATATGGATTAATGCCCCATCCCCCCTCATTCACCATCTCGGAATCCGAATGCACATTCAGCCCATCAATCCATATGATAGAATGTACAAATCAATAGGATGCTTTAGAGCTAAGAACAGGGCAGGCCTCAGCTTCAAAAGTAGCAAGCAAACAATTCCCATTAACTTCAGTGTGAATTAAAGGTGTTCATCACAGCTTTTGAAAGAAGGCAAGGTTTCTATAGCTAAAGCCAGAAAGTGAATTCTCCATTCTGCTCTTCCTGACCTTTTTAAATATATCTCTCAGGAACAATCAATATACATAGCTTTAAAAGAAAAAACTATGTTTTAACATTTTTTTTAAACCAAGCCTTATAGGATTTTATTTTCTAGGGCACTTGCTAAGCTGCTGTGATTTGCTAACACTATTCAGTGTACTTGAACTTCCACAGCCTCAATGCAATAAAGATTTAAAAATGTGTCATTCATCTATCAACTGCCAGTGTAAATCTAGCAGGAAATCCCTGGATGATTTTCATCCAGAGGTAACATACTGAACAACAAGAGCTACAGCAATCAGAAGACAGAGAAAAACACACAGCACTGCCTTGAAACAGTGTAATGTGAATACAAGTGCCTTTTTGCTGCAGAAATGAAGCACCATCCAAAGAAGGGACATTGGTCTTTAATGCTGCATGTTAACTTAAATTTCAGAGAGAGAGAGAGAGAGAGAGAGAGAGAGAAATAGGAATAGTAGGGGAAATCTGGAACAGAAATGGGCAATTTCAGGCCTCTTCCCCCTACACCCAAAGGTGCTTTGATATCTACCTCTCATCCAGGGCCCAGTATAGAAATTACACTTTTACCAGTATAAGAGATCAGGAATTGGTCTCTATCCATAACAGAACAGGAGTTTGGCACATATAGACTAGTTTAAAAATGGCGAAACAATCTAAGATTTGCCCTCCCCGCCACCCTGCCAATGTTTTGTTTGCTACTCATCTAAACTACGCTGCTTACCGAAAACTATGCAACTTAGATCAATTCCACTTCCGGCTTTTTGAATGTCTGTACTTGGTCCAGAGCACTAAGAATGCAGAGTGTGCAGGCACCACATGTACAGAACAAAGGAGCTTTGTGCTGGTGGATTCACTAACCACTCTCCAACTTGCCTCGAGTCTCTTTTCTGATTTTAGAATGCATAGGCACCTATATGCGTACTTCGAGGCTGATTCGATGCACTGTAATTACAGCACACCAGAGGAGACTCAGTTAATTGAGTCTGCTGGGGCATGGTAATTACTGCGCTCCAGCAGACTCCAGCATCACGTGCATCAATGTCCCTGCACTGATAAATGGCGGCGGGGGCGCTTTAACTAACACTTGTCAAACGAGCTTTAGTTAAAGCGCCCCTGCCACCATTTTTCAGCATGGGGACACTGATACACATGACGCTCCAGGTGCTATACTTAGAGTGGCTCTTGGAGCCACTATAATTAAAGTACCCCCCCTCCCCTCACTCTGCTGCCACCCAGTAAAAAAAATAACCAGGAAAAGCAAACAACTTTACTGGGAAAGAGCTGAAGTGATCAAATGTGTTTGTAAGGCTGAATGCCCTGAATCACTGAATATGGTCAAGCAAGGAATATACTATAATACTTGTGTAGTATTTCTGTTCCATTGATATAGAAAAGGGTCTGCTGTAACTTTTTTTGAAGAGAAAATACGCAACCGGTTTAGAAGGATGCATCTACATGCGTCTATGTGTTTCTAAAATATTCACCACAGCATCTAGTCTAGCATCTCTACAAACGAGTAACACATTTATACTCCAGTTTTGCCTTTTGTGGCCAGATTTTCACACTTTTGTTAGACAACTTAGTGATTAAACCTATTTTACCCCCGCCTCTC